GTGACGTGGAGTCCTGAGGTGAGTTCTTGCGTGAATAGTGTTGCGGTACCTATGGTGTATTGCTGTCGCGTTGGGTTGTGTGGTTCATGGGTTGATGCGTACCTCGTCGGTTGGATGTTGCTGGTTGTATGCTTTGTGAAGTGAGGTGTTAGTTAGATTGGTATTGCTATGGAGTGAATGCGCGTTGTTCGCGTTGTTGTTTGTTCAGCTGGCACTGGTTCATCAGTGGGGAGTTGGTTGTGGTGTGCATAGTATTTCGCTACTGTGGCAGCGTACCTGTGTGCGTGTGTGTGTGTGTGTGTATGTTTCGGCGGTGGTGGTAGTGTGTGTTTGTTAGTTGTGTGTCGTGTGTGTATTTCGTGGTTGAGGGTGGTGTGCACGTGGTTTCGGTTGGATTTTCGTGTTTTCCGTGAGTGACTGAGTGGATGATGTGCGTGTGTTGATCGCGACGTTATAGTGATGGAGTTTGGCTATTGTGCTGAGGTGTGTTGGACAACTGGAGGCTGTTTTTTGGGTTGTGGATGGAGACGGCGAGAGGCGTTCGTGTTTGTGGTATTCGCGTTCGTTTCCGGTCTGTTTTTGTCAGCTGCTTGTTTACTGACTGCGTGGTAGTATTAGTTGTTACCTTTGTTCTTCTTGTTCCTTATGCTTCTTTTGTTGTTTTTGTTGTTCCTCCTCTTGTTCTCCTTCTTGATGTTGTTTTCCTTGTGCATGTTTTTGTTCTTCCTCTTGTTGTTGTGTTTGTGAGGATTCGTCGCGGAATCATTGTGGTCGTTGTTTCAAGCATGAGCGGAATACTACGCGTGCATGCGTGTCGGTCTGTTTGTTTTTGTGTCTTAGGTCTGGCGAGGTGGAGAAATGTGTGGCATTTTGATGAATCCTGCTGTTCCCATCATCACCATTGCGTGTGTGTGTGTGTGTGTATAAGTTGTGTGTTGTTGATATTGTGAATGCCGGATGTCGCTATGATGATGACTCCTTGCCCTCTCTGACTCGACACGATTGGGTTTTTGGATCTGACATGGCGTTCGGGCGATCGTCTATTGTCTGTGTGAGAGTGCGTGTGGTTGAGCGTTATCGTTTTGTTTGTTTGTTTGTGTATGTATTGTGATGTGTGCGGTGTGTTTGCGTTTCTCTTTGTTTAGCTGTTAGTGATGTCTTGGTGGCGAATGATGCGGCGTTGTGTTGTGAGATGGTGCTAAGCGGTACTGCACATGTATGCAGAGTGGTTTTGGTCTAGTGTTGGTTTATTCATCGCTGGTAGGGTTATGTAGTGTGCACTGTGCTTGAGTGTATGTATGTAAGCGTGGAGCTGAAGTGTATTTGTGTATGGCTTTGTGATTGTGTGAGATACTGAGTACTGCAGTGTTGGTGAGTGCGCACGATGGTGGAGTTGAGCATGAGTTGCGATTGATTAGTACCGGTGTTCCTCTGTGCCACTGCATGTTTTCATCGACTAGTGGTTGCTGAAGGTGTCCACTGCTTCTGGATTTTGGTCTGTGATTTAGTGTGTGACATTTGTCGTTGGATGGTGTGTTGTTTGTTTTGCAGCAATGAATGCGGGTTGATGTAGCTGAAGTCTGTTGCGATGTAGAGCTAGTTCCATTGTGGTCCTATGCAGCCACCGGTGTGGATGTGGACGGACAGAAGTGATTCAGCCTGCCCCAGCATCGAGCATCATGGTGGGTTGTGTAAGGCTTGGGTCAGGTGGTGTGTGATGTTGGTGCTTATGGAATGCGTGTGCGTTTCAGTTCGGTTTGTTTCGTCCGCTTGTTCATTGAATGCGTAGTAGAATTGTCAGTTCTATTCGTTGTTGTTGTGGTTGCTGCTGTTCTTCTTCTTCCATCTTGTTGTTCTTGTCTTCGTCATCCTATTTTTGGTTGTTACTGTTTTTCTCATCGTAATTTTGTCATGGTTGTTGTTGTCGTCGATTTTTGTTGTTGTCCTTCTCTTGTTGTTCTTGTGTTCGGTGTGTTCATTGTTTTTGTGTTGTTGTCGCTGTCTTTATCGCTGTTTTTGACGGTCGTGTTGGTGTCGTTGCTGAGGATGAGTTGGTGCAGCAGTGTTCGTTGTTTTGGATGGAGTTTGCTCAGACCGGTTTCATTTGTTTGTGTCTGTTTGCGTTGATGTTATGATGTGTACCTAGCTCACTCTGATGACACCGTCAGTGTGCTGAGCGCAATAACCTGAATTTCTGTGCATGTTTTTTGTATGTCGTTTACTCGTTCTGGAAGATGTTACTCTTTATTCTTTGATGTTTCAGTGTTGATTCGACGTGTGTTCTGCACTCGTTGCGAGTAGTGAGGGTCGAGGCGCGATACTTGGAGGTGAGTGAGGCGAATTGCGTGTGAGGTGTGTACATTGTTGTTGTATTTGTTGTCCTAAGTGGGTATTTGGTGGTGGCGAGTGATGAGTATGGTATCACGACGGTCTTGTGAGCTTGTTCAATGATCAGATGTGGTACTCTGATGTGTTGTTGCTTTGTACATGGTGCCAGTGTTGCATTTGGTGTTCGTGTGGCGCTTGGTGTGTGTCTCATGGTTGTTGTGATTACATCCTATGTTTCAGGTTTACGGGCGTGGTTGTATTCTGGTGTCGCGAAGGTGGATGTCGTGTGTCCGTGCGTATGGTTTGTGCGGTCGGTTGGTTTTGTTTGGCACACCACCGATTTGCTGCGTTGTGGAGTGGGTTGGCGGTCGGTCGGTGGAGGATGCAGCAGGTGGAACGTGTGTGCAGGTGACGTGGAGTCCTGAGGTGAGTTCTTGCGTGAATAGTGTTGCGGTACCTATGGTGTATTGCTGTCGCGTTGGGTTGTGTGGTTCATGGGTTGATGCGTACCTCGTCGGTTGGATGTTGCTGGTTGTATGCTTTGTGAAGTGAGGTGTTAGTTAGATTGGTATTGCTATGGAGTGAATGCGCGTTGTTCGCGTTGTTGTTTGTTCAGCTGGCACTGGTTCATCAGTGGGGAGTTGGTTGTGGTGTGCATAGTATTTCGCTACTGTGGCAGCGTACCTGTGTGCGTGTGTGTGTGTTTGTGTGTGTATGTTTCGGCGGTGGTGGTAGTGTATGTTTGTGAGTTGTGTGTCATGTGTGTATTTCGTGGTTCTGGGTGGTGTGCGTGGTTTCGGATGGATTTGCGTGTTTTCCGTGAGTGACTGAATGGGTAATGTGCGTGTGTTGATCGCGACGGTATAGTGCTGGAGTTTGGCTATTGTGCTGAGGTGTGTTGGACAGCAAGGGGCTGTGTTTTGGGTTGGTGACGACGAGACGCTGGTGTTTGTGGTAGTCGCGATTGTTTGCGGTCTATTATTGTCAGATGCTTATTTACTGACTGCGTGGTAGTATTAGTTGCTACCCTTGTTCTTCTTGTCCCTTATCCTTCTTTTGTTGTTGCTGTTGATGTTGTTGTTGTTTCTCTTGTTCTTCCTCCTATTATTCTCCTTCTTAATGTTTTCTCTTGTGTTTTGTTTTTCGTCTTGTTGTTGTTGTGTTTGTGAATATTCGTCGCGGAATCAGTGTGGTCGTTGTTTCAAGCATGAGCGGAATACTACGCGTGCATGTGTGTCGGTCTGTCTGTTTGTGTGCATTAGGTCTGGCGAGGTGGAGAAATGTGTGCTATTTTGATGAATCCTGCTGTTCCCATCATCACCATTGCTTGTGTGTGTGTGTGTGTGAGTAAGTTGTGTGTTGTTGATATTGTGAATGCCGGATGTCGCTATGATGATGACTCCTTGCCCTCTCTGACTCGACACGATTGGGTTTTTGGATCTGACATGGCGTTCGGGCGATCCTCTGTTTTCTGTGTGAGAGTGCGTGTGGTTGAGCGTTATCGTTTTGTTTGTTTGTTTGTTTGTATTGTGATGTGTGCGGTGTGTTTGCGTTTCTCTTTGTTTACCTGTTAGTGATGTCTTGGTGGCGAATGATGCTGCGTTGTGTTGTGCGATGGTGCTAAGTGGTAATGCACATGTATGTAGAGTGGTTTTGGTCTAGTGTTGGTTTATTCATCTCTAGGCGAGTCCTGTCGTGTGTAGTGTGCTTGAGTGTGTGTGTGTGTGTATGTAAGCATGGAGCTGAAGTGTATTTGTGTGCGGCTTTGTGATTGTGTGAACTACTAAGTACTGCAGTGTTGGTGAGTGCGCAAGATGGTGGTGTTGAGCTTGAGTTGCGATTGATTAGTACCGTTGTTCCTCTGTGCCATTACATGTTTTCATCGGATAGTGGTTGCTGAAGGTGTCCACTGCTTCTGGATTTTAGTCTGTGATTTAGTGTGTGACATTTGTCGTTGGGTGGTATGCTGTTTGTTTTGCAGCAGTGAATGTGATTTGATGTAGCTGAAGTCTGTTGCGATGTAGAGCTAGTTCCATTGTGGTCCTATGCAGCCACCGGTGTGGATGTGGACGGACAGAAGTGATTCAGCCTGCCCCAGCATCGAGCATCATGGTGGGTTGTGTAAGGCTTGGGTCAGGTGGTGTGTGATGTTGGTGCTTATGGAATGCGTGTGCGTTTCAGTTCGGTTTGTTTCGTCCGCTTGTTCATTGAATGCGTAGTAGAATTGCCAGTTCTATTCGTTGTTGTTGTGGTTGCTGCTGTTCTTCTTCTTCCATGTTGTTGTTGTTTTCTTCATCATCCTAGTTTTTGTAGTTACTGTTTTTCTCATCGTCATTTTGTTATGGTGGTTGTCGTCGCCGTATTTGGTTGTCTTTCTTGTGTTCGTTGTCTTCTCCATTTTTGTGTTGTTGTCGCTGTGTTTATCGCTGTTTTTGGAGATCATGTTGTTGTCGTTGCTGAGGATGAGTTGGTGCAGCTGTGTTCGCGGTTGTGGATGGAGTTTGCTCAGACCGGTTGCATTTCTTTGTGTCCGTTTGCGCTGATGTGTTCCTAGCTCACTCTGATGACACCGTCAGTGTGCTGAGCGCAATAATCTGAATTTCTGGGTGTGTTTTTTTGTATGTCGTTTACTCGTTGTGGAAGATGTTACTCATTGTTCTCTGATGTTTCAGTGTTGATTCGACGTGTGTTCTGCGTTCGTTGCGAGTGGAGGGTCGAGGCGCGATAGTTGGAGGTGAGTGAGGGGAATTGCGTGTGAGGTGTGTACATTGTTGTTGTATTTGTTGTCCGAGGTGCGTATTTGATGGTGTTGAGTGATGAGTATGGTATCACGACGGTCTTGTGAGCTTGTTCAGTGATCAGATGTGGTACTCTGATGTGTTGCGTTGTACATGGTGCCAGTGTTGCATTTGGTGTTCGTGTGGCGCTTGGTCTGTGTCTCATGGTTGTTGTAATTGTATCATATGTTTCAGGTTTGCGGACGTGATTGTATTCTGGTGTCGCGATGGTGGATATGGTGCGTCGGTGCGTATGGTTGGCGCGGTCGGTTGGTTTTGTTTGCCACACCACCGATTTGCTGTGGTGTGGAGTGGGCGGTGGGTCGAGGATGGAGCAGGTGGAACGCGTGTGCATGTGACGTGGAGTCCTGAGGTGAGTTGTTGTGTGAATACAGTTGCAGTACCTGTGATGTGTGTATTGCTGTCGCATTGAATTACGTGATTGAGTTCATGCGTACCTCGTCGGTTGGATGTTTCTGGTTGTATGATTTGTGACGTGAGGTGTTAGTCTGGTTGGTATTGCTATGGAGTGCATGCGCGTTGTTCGCGTTGTTGTTTGTTCAGCCGGCACCTTTGCATCAATGGTGAGTTGTTTGTGGTGTGCATAGTATTTCGCTACTGTGGCAGCGTACCTGTGTGCGTGTGTGTGTGTGTGTATGTTTCGGCGGTGGTGGTAGTGTGTGTTTGTTAGTTGTGTGTCGTGTGTGTATTTCGTGGTTGAGGGTGGTGTGCACGTGGTTTCGGTTGGATTTTCGTGTTTTCCGTGAGTGACTGAGTGGATGATGTGCGTGTGTTGATCGCGACGTTATAGTGATGGAGTTTGGCTATTGTGCTGAGGTGTGTTGGACAACTGGAGGCTGTTTTTTGGGTTGTGGATGGAGACGGCGAGAGGCGTTCGTGTTTGTGGTATTCGCGTTCGTTTCCGGTCTGTTTTTGTCAGCTGCTTGTTTACTGACTGCGTGGTAGTATTAGTTGTTACCTTTGTTCTTCTTGTTCCTTATGCTTCTTTTGTTGTTCCTCCTCTTGTTCTCCTTCTTGATGTTGTTTTCCTTGTGCATGTTTTTGTTCTTCCTCTTGTTGTTGTGTTTGTGAGGATTCGTCGCGGAATCATTGTGGTCGTTGTTTCAAGCATGAGCGGAATACTACGCGTGCATGTGTGTCGGTCTGTCTGTGTGGAGAAATGTGTGTCATTTTGATGAATCCTGCTGTTCCCGTCATCACCATTGCTTGTTTGTGTGTGTGTGTGTTGTTGATATTGTGAATACCGGATGTCGCTATGATGATGACTCCTTGCCCTCTCTGACTCGACACGATTGGGTTTTTGGATCTGACATGGCGTTCGGGCGATCGTCTATTGTCTGTGTGAGAGTGCGTGTGGTTGAGCGTTATCGTTTTGTTTGTTTGTTTGTTTGTGTATGTATTGTGATGTGTGCGGTGTGTTTGCGTTTCTCTTTGTTTAGCTGTTAGTGATGTCTTGGTGGCGAATGATGCTGCGTTGTGTTGTGCGATGGTGCTAAGTGGTAATGCACATGTATGTAGAGTGGTTTTGGTCTAGTGTTGGTTTATTCATCTCTAGGCGAGTCCTGTCGTGTGTAGTGTGCTTGAGTGTGTGTGTGTGTGTGTATGTAAGCATGGAGCTGAAGTGTATTTGTGTGCGGCTTTGTGATTGTGTGAACTACTAAGTACTGCAGTGTTGGTGAGTGCGCAAGATGGTGGTGTTGAGCTTGAGTTGCGATTGATTAGTACCGGTGTTCCTCTGTGCCATTACATGTTTTCATCGGATAGTGGTTGCTGAAGGTGTCCACTGCTTCTGGATTTTAGTCTGTGATTTAGTGTGTGACATTTGTCGTTGGATGGTGTGCTGTTTGTTTTGCAGCAGTGAATGTGATTTGATGTAGCTGAAGTCTGTTGCGATGTAGAGCTAGTTCCATTGTGGTCCTATGCAGCCACCGGTGTGGATGTGGACGGACAGAAGTGATTCAGCCTGCCCCAGCATCGAGCATCATGGTGGGTTGTGTAAGGCTTGGGTCAGGTGGTGTGTGATGTTGGTGCTTATGGAATGCGTGTGCGTTTCAGTTCGGTTTGTTTCGTCCGCGCCTGTAGGTTTTGAAATGTTTGTTCTTTGCTTTACCACTTATTTGTTCGTTATTCCCTTTTCCGTGTTTTGCTGCACATTTCGTTTGTGTTTTTGTTTGCTTTTCCTTTGTATTTCTTTCCGTTGTTTTTCTGTTTTTACCATTTTTCGTTTTTTAATACTTCCTTTTTTCCTTTACTTTTTTTCGGTTCACCTTTGTCATTTTGTGTATACTTATTTTTGTTGCATTACAGATTGCCTTGTTGATGCCTTTTATGTAGTGTATTTTTCTATTCCTTTTATGCTTGGACGTCATTTCTTGCAGAATTGCGCATGATATTCGACCTTTTTATTTGTTAGCAAACCTTGCTTTTTTGTTTTTTTTCTACTTGATTATCCAATGCGTTTTCTGCAGCTTAGCTTCATATCTGTCTGCTAAGGACGTCGGAAGAACATCTGTTTCCCTTGCACTATCTGTTAACTTGGGAGCAATACTACTCTCTGTGCGTATCAGATTTCAGCAAAATCTCTCTCCTAAACTTAGCAGCAGTAGTTTGAATGGTATTGAACTAAGAACGGAGAAGCACTCCAGTGGAATGGCTTACTAGTCATCAACATGTATTGTGTGGGCACAAGAATATTCTTCATTTACTCTATAACCTGCATTGATCGAAATTTGATAGCGTCCATGTTTCCATCAAACAAATCGCTGAGTGATATTTTACATGTTGTGGTAGGATATTATCCACCAACGGAATCAGGGTCTCACTGCGCAAATATGCTACTGATTCCTCGTCGTAATTGTTTAGAATGATCTGTTCAAATTACCGCAGCAGCCTTCCCTTCGGCCGAGAGCGGTAAATAGTCTTCTGTTATCATTATGTATGCTTACATTCGGGGCTCCAGTTACTACGAGATCCCACTCTCGATGGACTCCGCTAAATCTCTGTATTGTAAGCCAACCGTTCGCAGATTGTATCAGCTCTGAGGTGTCTTCGTTTATGATCGACCAGTTCGATGACCTGTTTTCGTTTTTCTATCCCCCACGAGTTTACTCATTTTTTGTTATTTATTTTATATTTCTTTCTACCTTTAATTGTTTACTTGCTATGGCTACTTTCTTTTCATATGTCTTTTTGATGTTTTGTCTATCCTTTTTCCCTATGCACACGCATGCTTGAAGGTTGAATCCTAAATTATCCCACCATTACTTTTAGTGCGCACTGTCACTTCCCCATGAACGTTTTCAACTCATAAGAGTGCACTCTTTCTCTTTTGTCAATTTATCATGGAAATTCAAATACACAAGTGAAGAAAAATTTTCTCGCGCAGTTTTTCGTCACCCAACGTCCGTTTGCTGCGGTCTTCGACACCACGCATTGCGCACGAGCGTGTAACTCGGGTTCCATCTCGTCCCAGTTGCTGCAACAATTTGAGTAAAAGGAGATGGCACGCATGTGTTAAAGGCGTACATATGTTACGTTGAGCCAATAATTTCTTCGCGTTATACTTTTTCTTTATTCCTGATCAAGGTGGCATTAAACGAATTTAAATACATACGCCTTTATTTCGTCTAAGCTTCTCGTCTCAAGGCGGAATTTCGCAGCCTGCTGGTTTCTGGCTTTAACCTTTCATGCCTTTTTAAGGGTCCTCGTATATCTTTGTAGGCTTAAAAGGGAACTATACCTAGTTACCTTGCACGCACCTGCTAGATTACATCCTCATCTAATGATGGCTGGCCTATGGTTTTCATTTGTACTGGGGACTAAAGGAAACGCCAACTGTATCCGCATATATATATATATATATATATATATATATATATATATACTTATGAGTGGAAGGATTTTGGTGAGTATTTTTGTTCGTCGCAATCAGCCGACAATTCAGATATGTCAACTAGCTATCCGGAAAAGCACCAGGCGGCCGTTTCGCCCTATTGGGGCTCATCAGTGGTGCGCATCCTTCGGTCCTCTGCGGAGGATCGAACCCATGACTGCTAGTGGCTCTTGCCAACTAGCCCACAGCTTATGCAACTGCGCCATGGAGGATGGTATCCAATCATCACGAATTTATTTATTCTCAGTATTTATGCAGACACTGTGTCATCAGAACCATGGCAACGTGGAAGACAATTGGCGTGCGAAAGAAAAAAGGACAGTTCTTTTTGAGTCCTGTTTTGTTTTTTGAATATATAAATTTATACTTGAGATTAAGCATCAGCTAAAACGGCCCAACAACACTGGCACCGCTGATGTCTGTTTCGTGCCCTCATTTCATGCGTTTGCAACCACAGGATTTCCGCGTCACGTGGTCCCCAACTTGGGAGCCGCACTGATCTAACTGAAGCTAAACTTGAGGCTGCTTTTTTCATACCCCTTTACCGCGTCAATGGTTGTCCACCGCGACACTTTTTTCAGTCGCATCTGGGAAGCGCAAATAACGCTCGCCCAGGAACGCGATAGGATGGCATCCGCAGTGCGTGGCCCAACCAACGCATGCGGTGTTTGTAGAACAACGTTTTGAAGGCTGGGAATGTTCGTTCTGTGCACTCGTTGACGAACGTCCGTATTGCTTATGTGATGTTGCCACCACACACGAGCGATCCTTCGCAGACTATGGTTGTCAACAACTGACAGTCGTTTCATGTCTTCGGAGCAAACAGGCCAGGTGTCACAGCCGTACAGCAGGTCCGTACGGACGGAAGCATTGTACACCCTGCCTTTGAGCTTTAGACTAACATCACGACGATGCCATAGGTCTCTCAGTTTGATAAAAGCAAGGCGGGCTTTTGCAGTGTGCTGTGAAACCTCATCTCCAACACTGCCACCAGCCGTGATACGACTCCCTAGATAAGTAAACCTATCCACTTTTTCCAGAATGTCATCAGCAATTGTGAGGGCGGACGCATGCCCTTGCCAATCCTTAAGTAGCACTTTACACTTGGCAGGGGTGAATTACAAGCCACAATTGGATGCCTCAATCGCTAAGCAGTTCAAGGTGTTTTTGATTGTTTTGCAGATCGTCACCCAGCAAAACGATGTCATCAGCGTAGTGCACGTCTGTGATTCTGACGCCAAGGAGAAGCTCAATACCGCAATTCGGGGCACCTTCCAGCGCTCGTCACGCGACATCTTCGATGGCAGAATTGAAGAGAAAATGTGGAATAGCTCAACCTTGGAGAACGCCGCTGGTGACGGCAAACGAAGAGAAAAGTCTGCCGTTAACCCTAATTTTGCCTGACGTGTGACTGTATAGTTCCTTCGGAATGATGACAAACTTTTCTGACACATCCTTCCTTAGTATACAATTCCAAAAAGCAGCTCTGTCTATTGAATCGAATGCTGCGCTAATGTCCAGGAACACTACGATTGTTAGTTGACGGTGGACGTGGCGGAGCTCGTGATTTTGTCGGAGCGTGAATATTTGATCAATGCAACTTCGGCTGGGCGAAAACCAGCTTGTTCATCTCGGGAAAAACTGCTGGACACAAAAATTTAGAAGCCGCGTGTAATTTTGTTCTTCTTCTTTGATATATCTCTGTTGTATCAAGTTATAGACAGATATACTACTCACTCCAGGTGCCCTGGTAGAGGTGATTGTAAAAAGCGTATTTTAGTTTGAAACTGTTAGTTCCCTTTAGTAATTTGAAAAGCGCAGTATTTTGATTTGACGGTTCACGTATTTATGTTTGCAGTAATAGTCTACTGCTGGTCTTTGCTTCTTAAATCTACTCTTGCGTCCAGATATGCAAATGGAATCGGTCAATGTCCAAGGTCATCCGTCTTCATGCTCAGAGAATTCTCTCGTTGATCAGCTACCTTACCGTTGGAAATGAGCTCTACAGTTTCAAAAGTACAAGGAAAATTTTACAACTTCTCGGTGCTGCACATCTGTCGAAAACATCAGATTTTTCTTCTCAGCCTGTGATTCATGAGTTACAAATTGCTTGTTAAAACTCGATCATGCCGAAAAAGGGGATGTATCTCGTGTAATGGATCATATACATTATTATAATTTTTCCATTTTCATTTCTCCGTTCAGGCATGTTGCCAATCTACTGTCAACAGAGCTCCGGTGCCGCCTCAATTCCACCGCGTGCTCATTCCTGTTTTACTGCACGCATCGAACTGGGGTTCGAACTTTATCGAAACATCTCTATCTACATGAAACTCGAGATTGTGGGAACTTTATCCCAGCGCGCTGCTATTACTGCGCTTATTTTAAAGGTTATCGGCCCTTCATCTCTCTCTAAATGCGCTGGTCTTATCAAACTACCTATAAATGGTCAAGAAGTAACTAACTGTCCGAAATACTATGATTTCACGGCTACAGGTAGGGGCGTCGTGACACCTGTGGTCCAAACACTGCACTCTTCGCGGACAGTAACCTGTATGACAGTGGAGGACGGGTCAGGCTATCTCGCAGTTAGATTTCCATTCATGATGCTTAGCTATCGTCCCCCATGGCTCAGTGGCACAAGCTGCTGGCTACTGCTGCAAGCGACTTAGAGTCATGGGTTCAGTTTTGTGAAGTGGAATGAGGTGATGCGCACAACTGATAAGTCCCATTAGGACGAAACCGCCATCTGATGACTTTCCGGATTAGTGGCTGGCCTGTGTGGTTTGTGCACTAATTCCGATGAATCTCATCAAATTCCTCTACTCAAGAGTGGCCTTTCAGTGTCAGATTATCTGTTGATGCTTGTTTGATCTGCTTAACTCGTGGATAGGTACAATAATGGTACAATAGGTACAATAATGGAATCCATTATTGGGTTTGCTTTCTACCAGCTACTGCAACTTAACTGCTATTAATCCCGCACTGAAGATGCCACCTCGAATGGTGGCGAAACGTTTGCAACCAAGTTGCCCAGCTCGGAGAACTCCACAACAAATGAGCAAGTCTCCCGAGCTACCAATATTCCAAATAAATAGTTTATTCTCAAAGTTATAGAGACACACCAAATCAGGCACCATAAAGGTTTATAGGCAGTTGTGTCTCACAACGATACTTTGGGTTCAATCGTGCGTAGTGCAAACGATCAAAGCACTATAAGTGCAGTGAAACGGTACATGTAGACGGAGAGTATCATATTCTTGCATGTGTCGGGAAAAAGTTGAAATATGAGTCTAGTCGACTTGCCAGTATGTAGTTGTGGGCAGTGACTTTATTCAGTGGCGAGTCACGTCACAGTGCTGTTAAACAGACATTTGTGGCTTTTATAGGGAGAACGCTTGCCAGACGAAAACCCACCACGTCCTTCAACACTGCCGTAAAGCATTTTGAACACTAATGTATAACTGGCAAAGCCGCTTGACGACTGATTTCATATTCGCTTGTTCGCAGTCAAATGCCTTCCAATTTCCTCTGTTGGCTGGACATATAGTTTGATCAGGGCCGCCATAATTGTTGAGGCCGGTTGAGGATGTGAACATCACAAATAGTCGTCTTGTTGTGTGTCCAGGTGGGCAAATTTCAAACTTTCTGCTGTCTGGATTTTTCAGATGTATAATTTGCGGGAGTGGGAAGACGTGTCCAGCTCTCCATACTGGACAACGATTGTGGTGGTGATTGTATTTGAGTCCCTTTGGTATACAACCGTGCTCCATGTAGGTCCTTGTCGGTTATTACGTCCGTCTTGGGCGAAAACTGTTCCTCAGTCCAATCCCAGATCTCCAAGAAGTTCCGGACTTCGTAACAAGGTCTCACACTTCTTCCCCGGGGAGTTGATAGGTCCCATTCGCTTACTAGCTTGTTCAGCCTTGAGCCAAAACGCCTAAATATACCATATCATGATATCACCTCGAGATTGATATGCTCTCTTCCTAATCTAGAACTGGCTTACCGAACAACCTGCTCGTGGTGCCAGCTGGGTGGTTCGGGGTTTTCCCGCTCCAGCGAATGGTTCGGCGGCAGTATTCCAGGACGTGGTGGGTTTTTGTCTGGCAAACGTTCTCTCTATAAAAAGCCACATGTCCGTTTAACAACACTGTGATGTGGCGGACGTGACTCGCCACTAAATAAAGTCACTGCCCCTTGCTTCATCCTGGCGAAGCATTGTATTCCAGCAACTTTGTGCTATAATTCTGGGGAACATTGGGCCCCTGTTTCACAAAGGAACCAATGAAAGGCATATGGACTGGGCACTCAGTCACCGACTCCCAATGGGCGCGATTCACTGAATTCGCTCCGCTGCCTTGCGGCCAGACTATTCGGCCAAAGGCTCCGGGAGGTGTTCCCTAAGTCAACATCCTACTTCGGCTTGGACAACCAGGTAGTATCTCGCTCTCTGACGAAACCATGGATTCCGATGTGTTGTGTTGTGTGTTTTCTTCTACTATTTCTGTACCTTGTTTTGAGTCCCATGGTTTCTGTTGGCTCTATGTCTGTTCGTATACGGTTGCATTATATATATATATATATATATATATATATATATATATATATATATATATATATATATATATAATGTACAGCGAAATGTTTTACTTTAGACTTACAATTTTTCCGGGACACACATGTCATCCGTGATCCACGCCATTTCCAGTGTGCTTCGATCCACTGGGACTCCTTTTATTCCCACCCACCGATCATATGGGAACGTCTAAAGTGGAAATGGATACAGATTCAGAAAGAGCTTTCAAATGTATGCGAACTGCAACAAGGCGTCACTTGGGTCGGTCTGGTTTCCATACGGATACATTATAGTTCCTTTGATTATTACGCTGTTCAGAGTCCTAATAAATAATTTACGAGCCCATACAAATAGGTGTTCACAAATGTATCTTTAAATTCGATTTCCATCTGGGCTAACTCTCACGTGGATGGCCAAAGCGAATACTTCCCACAACCAGAACTACACGAAATATCACTCACTACATTGTTGTTTTGCTTTGCCCTCCCCGTACTAGTTGGGATGTTGAAAGTTGTTTTACCACCTGCGTGAAGTGTACATAAACGATATTTTCCACGGCACTGCGAGGCATAGTTCACAGAAGTCGTCCATTCAATGTGTGCAGAGGAAATCACGTTTCCTAAACGAATTTTTGGATTAATTTATCAGTGGTCTTTTAAAAGGTTTTGTGAAATTAGCATTTTAGCCAATTTTTCAAGTGCAGCCATACGTGGAACTGTCTCTTGCGAACACATGCTTCCAATGCACAGTATTCCCTCACATGCACTTCCCTACCGCATTTAGATGTGCACCGATAGAGCTTAAGAGCAGGTAGGTAATCATTTCTGGCTTATTTTCCGGAATCATATTCAATGCATAATAATAATGTGTCAGTTGTACGCCGTAATGGTGCTTCGCTGCCGTGCGACCACCACCAGTCGTTGCACGCGGGCTGAATATACCGCGAGGACGCCCGCCCCTACCCGGAGTTCGAAATACGCTTTCCGATCCGATTTATGTCGAATGTGAAGTTTCACCTGGATCAGTTCTGGTGCCGCGTCTGTTTCTCGTGTTCATTAACAAGCTTACTCGTTTGAGTACTTCAGATTCCTTGCCGCCCGCTGACGATGTTAAGATGTGGTGGACGATCGCCGACCCAGCAAATCACGATGCACTTCAGCGAGGCCTGGACAGAGCGTATGGGTGCTCACTCCACAATCTGCTCCAGTTCAGTTCGGGGAAATGTAGGTTGGTTCACATTCGCCAACAGCCGAATATCACATACAAGCTTGAAGATCATGTTCTTGTAGCAGTGACCCACGAGCGCGACCTTAGGGTACTAGTTCAGGCTGATCTGGACTGCTCCGAACAATCTGGGAAGGCGTCAACGACCGGGAACCAATACGTTAGCATGCTGCGGAGGGTATTTGGGCGGTTTGATCCCTCTGTCTGCTCGCAGTTGCTTAACACCTACGTGCGGCCTCATGTGGAATACGCGATCCAGGTGTGGCAGCCCTGGCACAAGCAAGACCTTGCAGCGCTCGAGACTCCACAGCGACGAGCCACGAAGAACGTCAAAGGGTTGTTCAATCTTCCTTATCAACTTAGACTGAGGACCCTAAAATTATACAGTGGCCGGTATCGGCGCCTACGTGGCGACCTTATTATGGCCTACCAGATGCTAAGGAACCCCATCCACGTCTGCCGTCACATACTACGACTGAGCCACACCACGCATTTGAGGGGCCGCCATTTCAAGCTAGCCACGCAATACAGTCGGCTAGAATGTCGACAGAACTTTTACTCTCTTCATGCATGTCAGCCTTGGAACGTTCTCCCAAATTCCGTTGTTTCCCCTCCCACTTTACCTGTGTTTAAAAAATGCCTTGATGTTGCTCTAACCCACTTACACTACGAGGTATAACCTGTGTGTCTCAACAGACGATATAATGCGACGAACGTTGCGCAAACAGAATTAACCTAGACAACTGTGGTTGGCTCTTTCTGTGTGCTTCCATGTTAACACTGTGATGTGCCCACAAAATGATTTTCCTTTTACCTCTGTTCTCTATTCACCATGTTGTGGCCATCCTACGTGACTTGCAAAGCATCCGCTTTTTTGCCTGTAATATACCATTGTTTCATAGAACCAAGCCGTATGACCCGCAGTACTGATTCTTGTTTTATATGCCAGATATGGTGTGGCACGAAATTCGGGGTGGACAAAAGTTGACTTGCCAACGAAAACTGGAATCAGTGACCATTAAACTGGGCGTTGTTGATCTGTCTCGCTTTCCATGATTCATACGTTTCAAGAAGTTCCAGTATTTGGCTCGAAGTTGACATCAATGGACGTTTGTTTCCACCTCCTAGTCAAACTGTCTGTTTAAAGTATGTCTGATGCTGAGGTATCTGCGGGGTGATGGCTGCTTATGGCACGGAGCAGCGAAAGCCACAAAGAAGCTATCTCGTTGGTGCCGCCTTATCTTTGCACCATAGCCGGCGGTTTGTAGCGCTATATTGTTGACAGGATGTAGTTGACTTGATTCTAAATGTTTGCTCAGGGCTAGTGGCCGTGTGATCTGTGCGTCTGGTTTGCACCCATAAAGTCATCGATTCGAATCCGCGTATGGATTGGCGTCCTCGCGGTATACTCAGTCCGCGCGCGACTGGCCGTGGTCGCGTGGCAGCGAAGCGCCGTTAAGGCGTACAGCTGATACATTTATTTTTTAATTCGTATTCCCCCCGCAAGCGTTTATGATTGAACGGCAACGAAGCTCCAATTCAAATGGCCGATGTACTACTGTTGATTATGGTGTGTTCATCGAAAGGATGACTATTCACGAGGCTGCTCAAATCGTCCTTGTCAACGAGGACAGGGCAATAAACATCCTCAGTGCTTACAAACGAGATGGCGTCATTGTTCGGCTCAAGTATGGAAGAAACAACATATTAGCTGAGTTCCTACTTTTCGCAGTGCATCGGAGTATGCCTAGTTGCAGTTACACCGGCGCGAATTATTTTCCTGTTCAACTCTCTTGGCCTATCACCGTTCCACTGTCTTTCTGCACATCAAACTAAGAGTGTCCATCCCATCTTACCTCGTTCGCTGGAGGGACCCACAGATGGCCGGTCATTTGTTTGCACATGTTCTTCGCTTCCTTGAATGTTCGTTCCAGGTAGACATGCAACAGGCATTTGTTGCCGAAACACGTTAGCGCTGGATCGGAAAGGAAAACGTCAATGTCTATTCATCTGTTGTGAAGCGTCATGATTATTTATTCAACAAAATAAATATTTGGTTCATCACGTAGCCAACAATCAATGATTCAATTCAGCGGACTGCAGTGATAGAACTCCAACGTATGGTAGATGGACACTGAATCTTGCTGGAATAATTTTACACACCCGCATTTAATGTATTTCGTATTACTCGTGAGTAGGATGATTTTGGTCGTAATACTTACGGTATTCGTCACAGCAGCTACGTTTAAACAGAAGAAAACGACAACCAAACGCAAAATGGCGTGAGACCTCTAAAATAACCGTTTCCCTTTTTGCTATTCTCTTCTTCTGACAGTCATTTCATATTTCACCGGGGTAGGTCATACACCACGACCTCGCTGATACCTCATACATACTTTACAAAATCCGTATATTCTGGAGTATGGGTTTCTGCGATTTATCTAGACTTCTCAGAGGCAGTTGACCGTTTGGATCGTCGCATCCTGCTCCACAGAATCAAGAATAAAAGAATCTATGATCCTGTTCTGGTTCAAATACGCAACTTCCTCCTTCAACATTATCTGTATGTTAGGGTTTCTACCACCTTATCCGAACCGGTAAAGCACCACAAACCTCGGTGCTCGGACCACAATTATTCCTTGTTCTCATAAACAACGTTACGAGGGTGTTCATCACAATTTGCTACTCCTCGCGGAGGATCTAATTATATGGCGTGTTATCGATATGATGGTAGACCAAACGGTACCTCAACATAAATTGACGGAATTTGCATTTGGTCATAGGAGGACACACTCCAATTCAATGCAGCCAAGTACATTTCGGGCACTAGTTGTCAGCGTATTCACAATTACCGGCTAAGGTCACTGCTTCTAAAGCTTTTTTTATAACGATTTCGGAGTGCCCGTGCAAAGTGCGTAGATTTTTCGAAGTAGGTTAAGCAATCATCGAAGCAAACAACTCAACGTCTTGGTTTCTTGCGGATATCTTGATCGTCCAGGTTTCATCGGAGCTAGCTCATGGCCGTATGGATCACAAGCCTGCCTTGTAATCCACAGACACGGGTTCGAGGCTGTTTAGCGGACCCTCGCAGTATCCTTAGCCCACGCGTGACTGGTGATGGTTAAGTGGCAGCGAAGCATCGGTACTGTCTAACGGCGTACTGTTTACACCTTTCTATTTGCTACTTCCGCGAGTGCCTATCCGGTAGCTGAAACCCCAAGTGGGATGTGTTACATCTACATGTTCTCGTTATTCCCAATTAAACACCCAAAATTCTCCGCAAGCGTTCTAACTCAGCCAAAGAGAAATCAGAAGTCTCACGATCTTGACCGAGCAAAATGTATTAACTAAAACCCCGCCGACATGCTGCACAAATGCACCAGACCAACAAATTTATAGGTCGTTTAATAACCTTCGGATACTTGAAAACGAAGGTCCATTGGCAACAATGGTAGCTTCATTGTCAAATCTCCGTCTGTTGGCTGTCACGTGAAGGAATGGAAGGTTCCAGCATCTTCGAAATTAATGCGCAATCGAAGTTAATCGATTAATTGCTGAAATTATGGGTTTTTCCCTGATGTTTTTGCTTTATCCCAGATATCTCCTCCTGAAACGACTGCCGCGATGTATGATGTTAACATGGGTTGACTCTGTAGCCCACTGGATGGTGTTATATGCCTATCAGTCCGTCGCCTTGGCTGAAGTGTTCTTTCTCGCAAGCCGACACACAAACGGGAGCTTTCTTTTCGCCGGCGGAGTAGTGATGTTCAGAGTCTGCTAACTTCTGTGAAGCATAGGCAATAACCCACTCTTCACCGTTTTGTACTTGTGAAAGCAGAGCACGGAGGTCGGCATCGGAGGCATCAGTTAACACAAAAGTACGGCGTGATTCCTCAAGGCTGGCAACTAATGGGGCAGAGGAAACTCGTCATTTAACTTCGTCGGAGGCATTTTGTTGTTCACTTCCTTAAACAAACGGTGACCTCTTTTTTTGTCGGTTTCCGTAGTGGATCTGCCACGGTTGCAAAATCACGACATTTCGCATCTTGAAAGAGCACATACCCAGAAAAGACCTTAGTTTCGTTAACTGACTAGGTATGTATGAGTCAGCTATGGCATGGATATTTTCGTTAATGGGGCGAATGCCGCTGCAAGAAATGCTGTGCCTTATAAATTGAGTTTCATTGGCGTTAAATATGCACTTTTTCGGGTTCAAGCGGAGATCGAGTTCACTGAGTCGATGAAGGACTTTATGTAAGCGCTCGTCGTGTTCTTTCGGTGAGCGACCGAAGGCACACACATCTGTTGGTGCTGCAGTTTGTCTTCGCGGATCCATTTGACGCAGTTTCGTTGAGTTTTGTGTGCACCCTAGGTCACGTTACTTGGACAGACATTGTAAGCGCGCCAGTCTGAATTCCTTAAGTCCATGTATTTTCTAGTACGGCTCCTCAGGAATAAATTCACTTGCTTCTGACGAAGGCGCTTGTTTTCTGATGCATTTGCCACCAGCTCAGTGAAAGGGGTGACGAACAACATCCAGGTGACATCGAGCGGCTTCTCGGACAGGAACGACCAGTCGGTTTCTTTGAATGAGCTTGGACAGGATATCGTAATGTGTAACGACACAGGTTTCCACCTTGTTCTCGCTGATGTACTCCAAGTAACAGAGGTAACAAAAAAGCAACATCGCGTGATCGCTACGGCCAAGTGGTGCATCTGTGGTTACGGTGTTGGACATTAGTTCTTAATTGGAGAGCACAAGGTCCAAAACAATGGGTGTGTCACCAGTTCGCAATCGCATGGGAGAGGTGCCATTGTTGTATAGACATACATCGGCGATCACCTCTTGCAAATCAGCCTTGAATTGCTCGCTGTGCGATGCTGGAATTATGAGTGCGTACAGATTAAATCCTCCCACCAGAAGGACATGACTGTATGATCGTGCCAGGACTCGTTTCCTCGCAGAAGCTAGGCATTGGTCCATTTCCAAGGTGGACATTGGAGGGCGGTAAACTATTGTTAGTAAACACACATCAGCACATCTTAGGTGCCTACGACACCAGAGTCATGAATTTCTGCCAGGTAGCCTATGTTGAGCTCAGACCCATATATGTAAAACTGTACTGAAACAATCCATCAGGGGCTAGGAAGGCGGTAACAGGTTTGGAGTCATCAGGTGAAGGCATGTGGAAAAACGCACTTCTTAAATCCACTTCTGTGAAAACTGTTGCACCTGAAAGAGGAACCATTTACCTCACCACAAGAAGGCATCACAAACCTCTCGATGACTGTCTGTCTGTTTAGACCTTGTAGGTTATTACATATCCCGGCAGTGTCGTCTTTTTTCAAAGCACACCACTGGATGTACCTCCTCGGAGCAGTTGCTTGAGTCGTTTGCTAACATATGCTGCAAGGCTGCTGATACAGCTTGACGTTTCGCAAGTGGGATCGGTCGAGGTTGACTAATGGCGACAGGTTTCGCATCCTGTTTTAGCTGGATGTAATGAATACCACATGAAATACATCTGATAGAAGATTGAAAAAGTTTCGGATAGCGCCCTTGTCAATAAGCTACTCCAATCGAGGAAACGGTCATATGATTAAAAGATGGCACTACTTTTAGCGCAACCATTACGTTCTTCCGAAGCAAAGGCCGCTTGTTATCTGATAAACTACATGCCGCGACATCCGCAGCCACCAGACCAATCCAGAGAGGCACGATGAGAAAACGAAGAGCGGTTAAATTATTGTCACTGTAACTTCAGAATGAGTGAGCGGTCGTCGGTAAAGGGTATTTAGCTTAGTAACGTTTGTAGAAACTGGAGGCACAATAATAACAAGAGAAGCAGAATTCAGTTTGACTTCCGGTGGAATAACACCTTTGTTCGTAGGGAATAAGACAGTTCGAATGTCTGCATAGGGAAGTTTCGGTTCAACAACAGCTACCATGACATTTTCCAAGTTACTGACAGCATTGACTGAGTTAATATGTTGTTCGGCTGACTCGGTTACGTCGTACTCGGGAATGGAGTCCTGTTCGACGAGTGCGATGCGTGGGGATCGGCAACAGCGAGCAAAGTGTCCAACTATTCCACAGTTTTTACATGTGAGACTGTGGGCTGGACAAGAGTAGACTGTAGTTGTGCCACATCGGTCAGTTTAGTTACACAAAACTATATCGCCCGCAGAGCAAGCTCCATCTTCATTCTGGCCAAAGCGCAGGCCGGATCCCAAGTCAGAGTTCGGGCGTCTCCCTGTAAACAGCCTTTCACGTATACGGTTATCAGCAACGCTAGAGACCAATTGTTGCGTTAACATACATCCGATCTTTTTCTGCTGAATGGAAAAGTAATCACATGACCGCACTGCACAATCAAGTCTAGTAACAACATGATTCCAAGATTCACCTGGCTCTTGCTACATTTGGACGAACAATGGAACAATGATGTATTACGGGTAAAAAGAAAAGCAATGCTTAACGAGCCCCGTGGGATGGAAATTATGGTGAAAAGTAACTTCCATGAAAAGTGGAAAGCGTTTTGGTGGAACCACCATAGACTTATATAGAATAGCGGAGATGTTTGTTAGATCTTCACGTTTTCTCGCTATTCCGAATTAAACACCCAAAACTTTCTCCGCAACAATTCTGGCGCAGCCGAAGAAAAATCAAAAGTCCAACGACCGTGACCACGAAAAAGGTGTTAACAAATTCGCTGCCAAAGTAGCCAAAATTACCGCCAAAACGCTGTACAACTACACCAGAGCTACGCCAAATATATAGAGGCTTGTAGTGTACCGGAAAAACACGCTCTTTCAGTATTTTGCAACATTGGATTTTACAGTTGTTTTAACCTTCAAAACATCCTTTTGTTTTACTGACTGCACATCCATGGACACAAACCGTTTTGCCTGCACAATATACGTGGGTTCTGTCGCGTCCAGCTTCTATACTGTCCCGTATTGGACACGTCTTTT